TCCTGCGGGGTGAGACGAGGCAAGGCGAGGCAGGGCAGGGGTGCCATTGTCACAGGGCAAGGCGAGGCAGGGGCCAGGGTGGCTGCTGCCTGACACCATCAGCCCCCACACACAGAGGCCAGCTAGTGCATGGGGGCCGACAGTGTCCGTTAGCAGCCCCAGCCTGCCAGCCCCTCGACCGGCACATTCTGGGGCTCCGCAGCCCGCCACCAGCAGTTCAGAGAAGCCGCCTCTGAGCTGGACGGACGGCCAACAGCTGAGGAGGCGATGCATGGGTCGTGGCCAGAAAAAGGAGAGCATGTGAAGCCAGGAGGTATGGGATGGGGGGGGAGGGAAACCAGCCGTGCTGGGATACATCCGGCCATGTGGGTCCTTGGTGAGTTAATGGGCAGCTGGTTGAAGAGGGACGGTTGCCATCTCGGGCATGGCACACATGCCCACAGAGAGGGCTCTGAGTGCCGCCTCTGGCACACGTGCCATAGGTTCGCCACCACTGACCTAGGAACTTAGCACTCAAGTTCTGACAACAGAAAAAAGAAAGGAAAGCATCATGGATTATGAAAAGATGGATGAAAATCTGCAAGCTAACAGTGAATGAGATGGGAAGATAAGTGATAAATGTACAAGGGTTAAACACATTCACAGATGCTGAAAGAATGGAAAATTTAATGGTATATTATTGAAATAGCACTAGGTTAATATGTGTAGAACTAGTCACAGAATTAGTTGAAAGTTAGTAAAGCCTTGGACAAGAAAATTCAATGTATTCAGCATTGAAACAAAAAGTATTTAAATCACTCTCTTTAAATGAAGGTAAAATGGTCATTTCGCTCTTGCCCAGAGTGTTTTCTGGCTTTCCTATCTAATTCTATAGCCCTGAGATTTCCTCAAGGCCTATCTGAATAGCAGTTAAGGTCAACCCTACATGAAATTTTCAAGAACAGCCAAAAACAGTTAGGTGCTGATTTTATATTAAGAGAGAAAAGTAGTGCTCTTATTGAAGTAACAGTACCCACAGTTAAATACATAAGGCTGCTAACTAACAGAGAGAGAGAAAAAAGGAGGGTAGTTTTGCTTCACCATAGCAGCTAAAAAAGAGTAAGCAAGGTTAATTTTTTTCCCTTCAGTTAAAAACAAAACTGTATACTTAACTAAACAGAGCAGTTTCATGCCAAACTCCATTGAAAAAGGTACTACTGCACTAACCCAAACCTTCTCAAAAGGAAAAAAAAATCCAAACACCACTGTGAATCCACTAAGGCCTCTAAAAAGCTCTATCCCTCCTAACCCCACTGACTCACTGCTTCTCCCAGATTCTGATGTTTTTATTTAAGAATCAAGCTACCCCAGAGAAGCATAACACCCTCGGCTCTTGTAGAATTCAACTAGAGTAATTTCAGTTAACTAGTTGCATATTTCCAAACAGAAGCTCACTAAGAAGCACTCACTAGATAAAATCATGCTATGATGACACTATTATTATATCAAATTCTATATAAGCTCTGCTCCATTACTTTTCAAAAGGCCCAATATCATTGAGAATTTTGTCATAGCATTTTTTTTTTCACAGTAATACTCAATTCCACAGATAAATCTCTTTTTAGGATTTAAGAATTCTAACACTATGTTAAATTAATTTGCAAGGCCACAAATTATACTAAATGTCAACAAGTCAGAGCCAGTCAAATTCTTTAATTATTTTTCCACTATCTGTTACATAATGAGTATTTAACTATTAGGTTTTCCTTTTTACACTTCTTTAATTAATCTGCATTTGTTTCAATAAAATTTGGTACACAATTTCCTTTAATCTTAGAACCAGACTTGGCCTTTTTATTCCCATGTCAATAGTTGCATTTCAATAAGCAAGCAATGGTATGCAACAAAATTTAAATTTGATTTAACTACAGTTAAAATTAGAAACATTTTTAAAAGACAATAGCTCATGTCATGTAATAATCTTCATATCTTTTTACATTAAAGACTAAAATTCCTGAACCACCTTTGGAGATTTTCTGGCAATTATATCCAATAAGTGGACAGGCCAGATGTGGCCCATAAGTCATAGGTAATATACATCCACACAACAATCATGTAAGGTACATTGGACAAAAAGATAGTGACTTTTCTAAAAAAAACCAACCCCATATTGTCAATATAGTGGATTTGTTAGACTGCATCTAAATCTGAAGACCTACATTGATTTATACCAAGAACTTGCAACCTTCTAGATCAGGGGTAGGCAACCTTGGCTCTTTTATGACTCGTGGACTTCAACTCCCAGAATTCCTGAGTCATAAAAGAGCCAAGGCTGCCTACCCCTGCTCTAGGTATTGTAATACACCCTTCAAAACTGGCCACTCCACTGTCATTCAAGGTAGCAGGAAAAACTTAAATATAAAAAAGACATACAGTGGATTCCTATTGCATTTATTTCTGCAGCAATCTCTAGGTGGCCAGTTTTCAAAGTCTACAGAGATTTTCAATTGTCAAGACTCCAGGTCATGGTTATCTCAAAGGTGCTTTTTCAAAAAGGCCACTGGGCTTTGTTTTTTTCGTGAAAACGTTTCGCTTCTCATCCAAGCTTTGAAAAAGCACCTTTGGAATTTTTAAAGTCTGTTTTCTAATTCAGCCCTTAATGGTTTTTATTATAAAGTTTATACTTAGCTTCTGAAGTGGAACATGCAACTGAAATTAAAGGCAGACTAATGACCAGAACAGCAACTCTTTCCTTTTTACCCCTCCCTAAAGAAGAGTTCTGGGGAATCGAACTTTGCAATTATTTTGTGATCCTGAGTTAGCTTAATATGGGTTTTATATTTTAACTTTCTAATTTGACTGGAGAATTTGGGTTAATGCGTAGATTAGCAGCTATGGAGCAAAATATACGGTAACTTGCCTTTTTCTGCTATAGGTTTGCTTTTTACCTCTATTATTGTAAGAGAAAGGGTGAGACACTTGCTACTTTGGCAAACTAAGACATGCTGTTGGCAGAAAGTAGCTATCTCCTGCCTGTGTCATGCTCTACAGGCAAGCAGACATGGTTGAGGAAGGCATGTCCCATCCTAAAACCATTTATTGTTTAGAATACTAAAGGCATAAAATCAAAAGCATTCTCCCACACAGGTTCCTTCAGAAAAAATCTTGGGGGGGGGAGAGGGAATATACATTGTTTCCCTCCCTCTCCACCAAAAGTCACCAAGTCACCAACTGATGTATGTGTGGGGAGGATATTTACCATCTTCATCTTAATGTGGTCTAGAGCTGGAAAAAGAGATAAGTTTTAATAAGATGACTAGACTGCGGAGGTTTAGCTTTCTGGCAAAACGTCTCTGGCCTTGCTCAAATATTATAGGCAGCTACATTCAAAGTGACCTAACCACCATTAAACTCCATTCAAAAGTAGTGTGAAAACAGGCATGGCAAGAATTGTGCCATGTAAGGCATAGGAAATGTGAGTTTTCTCTTTCTTTGGTCTACTGTACGAGATCCCATTACAATCACCGATCAGCTGCTTTTCAGGCTGATCCAGTTCTCTGCCCCAAGGATCAGTTTGAGACCTAGTGATCAAATAGGGTGAGCTGAATTTGAAAGGCCTAGACTTGCTCCCTATCAAAAGCAGACACTTGAAAACAGTACCCAGGATTTGAAGTGGAGGCGGTAAATTCATGCTAATCTAAAGTGGTCAATAAGTGCCAGGCTGATCACACTCTGTAGAAGTCATTGACCAATTGTTAGTAAAATGAGTCAGATTGTATCCATGGCAAAACCTGTTTAGGGAGAAAACTCTTATTTTGATATTCAAGAATAGCTTAAACTTTAAGCTACCACAGTTATGTGCCAGGCATCAGATGAAAATAGAAAAAGGAGGTTGCTAGGCCATGCTTGTGCTATGATAACTGCAAATGGAGAAAATCATGCATTGAGTAACACCTGGGAACTCTTAGCTCTTCAGATAATATTCAGTATTCTTGATAACTAATCATACTGCCTATTGATGCTTCCATAACATACTAAACCAGTAACAGCTAACCAAGTAGTTTGGCCCAGACTGTTAAACAAACCAAGGCCATGATTGAAAATGTTATGGAACAGGGTAATAAAGTACTTGGTTAACAGAGTAAACCAGTGTTTCTTAATCTTGACAACTTGACAATATGTGGACTTCAATTCCCAGAATTCCTCATTCAGTCATGCTGAGGAACTCTGGGAGCAGAAGTCCACATATTTTCAAGTGGCCAAGGTTTAGAAAACCAGAATAAAATATGGTTTCCTTAGCCAAACTATGGTGAACTCAGTCAATATCTGAAATTCCTTTTCTCAAGGTAACCCAGATATGCTTCTACTTCCAAAGCTCAAGTTACGTACTGGTGAAAACAATGCACTCTACATAACCCGAGACCCTCCTCTGGTACTTTGAAAGAACAGCCCTGAGGGGAGACAAATGCTAACCAGAATTTAGGATATCTTCTGAGAGAAGTAACAGTCCTTAGCAAACAAGAAATGTTGTTTTTCACATGCTGAATGGATGAGGGAGTGGGAGAAATCACAGTAAACGGTTATGTTAAGCTGACACAATAGGCCATGATGTATACTATACCAAAACACACACTTCACCATTTAACCTTCTAGGGCCAACATGAATAAAAAAGGCAGGTGACATTTCCACTGTGTTCTGGGGGGCGGGGGGAGGAGGGAGAGTGTGGAATTATGCCTTCCTAGACACCCCAAAAATGATCCAGAGTAAACAGGGCAGCGGTCCCTCTTCTAACCCATGGAAGGTTCTTCCATCTTCCCTCCCACCCGGTATGGGGGGGGGGGGGAATAAAGGAAAAACGTCTCTCCTCCGCCATCTCCGCAAAAAGCGGGGAAAAGAGGAATGGGACTTGAAAGAAATCAAAAACCGCGAGCAGCCTCCCCGCTCCAGCCTTTTGCCCCGGCCAAAAAAAAAACGCTGGTTCCCGCTCGCTCGTTCACCCACCTCCTCTTCCTCTACTTACAAAATTGTCTTCGCATCCGTTCTCCGGGCATAACACATAAAAAGAAACGCCCGGGTCTGCGTAGAAATCCATCCTCCTCTCGGTCTCCTCCGTGGCAATAAGCTCGAAGGGGGTGTTGGAGCACCATTTATCCGCAACGTCAGCCAGCTGCTGGAAATCCATCCTCTTCTGTACTGGCGGCTGCCTTCAGCCTCCTCCTTCCTCGTCGGCGTGTGACTGTATCCGATTCTGCTCCCCTCGCCCGCTAGGAAAACGGGCAGTCGGCCCTTCTGTGGGCAGGGAAAAGGAAGGGTTACTGGGGGCGGGGGTGCTTCAGGCCAGGGGCCTCCTTTGCACCCTGAGTGATTGTTGCCGCTTATTGGCTTAACATTACTTGATAACTTCCATATATTGTTTACATACTGGGTGTAGAAGGCTGCTTGGCTCTGTCTGTCTGTCTGTCGCTCGCTCGCTGTTTCTTCCCCGCCTCCTCCTGCTGCTGCCGCCTTTTCCTCTTCAGTGGCCGCCTAATATAGGCTCAGGGCAGCTGCGCTAAATTCTGTGTGGGGGTCAATTAACGGGTGTGGGTAAAAGCTGGATTTTGCCGGATCCTACTTGGATTTTAAAGGATCCACCCGTTTCTTCTCAAACCCGAGTCTTTCTGTTAAGCTCGCGAGCCACATCCACCTCTCCACCTGCTTGAAGGCCCCTCCTACCAACTCGCAGGATAGTAATTCTTGAAATATTCTGCCAGCACGCATGCATAAAACCGGATATCTAGGTTCTAAAGGCCCTTGCCAATATTTGCATGACAACCCTTTTTCTCTACGCCGATTTTTGCTCCAAAATAAAAACCAAGTTGGGCTGCTTTTATTTCAAAACAATCACGTGCATGATTAGAGCCTTGCAAAATCACAGTGAGCATTCTGGATCTTATCAAATCCAACCAAAGTGAGATTTGCATTTTCAAATATTAAGGTCTGCCCTTGATGAATTTCAAAACTAAAAATATAAGATTGCTTTTTAGTTACACTCTTAAGTAGTGTAAAATATTTTTTTAATTCTAGTCTTGAAAAATATGTGCAGTCTGGCCTTAAGTCTTTTATGCAGAAGTCTCTATTTGACTAGCATTTAATGATTACTAAATTGGGAGGGAATATGTGTAAGTGAAAAACTATAACTTCCAGTAAAAGAAGAGGATTTGCTATTCAATCTCTCCCCCACCCTCCTCAAGATCTTGTGTGATCTGAAGGCACACAAGCTATGTTCCTTTTAGCTATCAAAGTATGATCATGATGATTTGTAAAGTAAGTGTTTATTGTATGTTATGATATGTTTTATGTCCTTTTTTACATTAATCACTGTGATAAACTACTGAATGAATTAAACATTAAGACAATCTCTATAACTGGGCACTGTTACTAGGCAGAAATAATTTTAGACTGTTCAGAACTGTAATGAAGGGATTTTTTTTTAACTGTCTTTCTTGGAATTTTTGCATCTTAATATGGTCAGAAACCTGTCTGTGATTTCATGTATTTGGCCTTCTTCTAGATAGAGTTTTATTAATGTAATGATTCTTGAACCTCCTCTTCCCCCGTTGCTCAGCAACACATAGGGCACTATGACATCTCCAGCCCTTCTGATATGCTATTTGCTCTCTTCCCAAAAATACTTGGAAACAGAGGTCACCTCCACAGGGCACCTGCAACAATTCTGGATTGGTAGTGCATTTGTTTAATCACATGCCACCATCTTTGTGAATAACACAGTCAATTCATTTCTGGCTCTGCTACAACACAACAGGAATTATTGGAATACAATTCTGAGTTGAAGCTTGAGGATAACTGGGTTTTGGTTTATATCTACTAAAGTAAACTACCACAGCACCACACTATCTTTGTGCTAATTTTTTTCTCATTAGGACAAAGAAGCAGCCTTCACAGCAAAGGATAATTTTATACTAATTTTCTCTTTAGTCTCAGCATCAGAACCAATTTATTAATGAAATTATTAGTGTTGTGGGAAGACCTAATTCATCTACTTGCTAATCTAGCCAGGTTAAAATGTCTTTGTTCTTCATCATCAGGGAAAAAAAGAATGTGAATGAATGTTCTTCATTATATTGCAACTTTTCTGTTGATTACCTGTACAGTTTGAAGCTTGCAGACTATTAAGAGTGTGTGTACTAGTTCATACTGTGAATTTTTTCTTGAATCCTACTGTTCCATGATTTACTTTACTGTATTAGGATTTATAAAATAAATCTGTGCAGTGACCTCTTTCAACAAACCAACGATACAGTCAGGTGACAAGATGAACCTAGAAGTTTCCACAAACCAGGTTGGTTGGCTATCTGACTTTAACTGTTGTAACTTACATATAAGCTAAACAAATTTCTGTATGATTTTAAGCCAAAGAAAGCAGAAACACATTATCAAAATAGAAAGAACAGCAAACAAATTGTATATATTTGTTTCTGGCAAATGATTTCTGTAGCTAAAAATTTAGAAAAAATATATATCATATTAATTACATATAAAGTTATGCTGATGAAGTTTGTCTCAGTGTCCTGGGCTCAGTCACTTGTCATGGTGCTTAACTGTTGAAGGCCTCTGCCTGCTCTTGTTATCCTTTATTATATTTAAACAGAGCTTGGGATGGACTGCTGCTCAGGCAGAGGACACTTTCTAAATTAGATTGGGACTTTGTAGTTATGTTCTTTTCAAGCCTCATTTTCTAGACAGAGCAGCTCAGTTCCTGCAGGTCAACATTTGAATTCTAGGCAGGTTAGGGATTATCTAATAATATTAACAAAAATAATTTTATTTATCTTTCCTCAAAGCAACAAATGGAAGTCTATTTATTTTAAACATCCTTTCAGGTAGATTTGCATATCATACTAAATCATGGTTTGTTGAACATGGTTTGCTGAATAACCCATTATTATCTTGAATTATGAATCACTCTAAGCCATGAATCATATTTACAAACCATCTGTCTGAGGACTGGCACCGGGCCGTGGCATGCTAGAAACCAGGCTGCGCAAACAAGTGAAGCCGTATCTGCAGGATGCAGGCAACATGTGAAACCACACGCCCCCTGCGGTCCATGGAAAAACCTCTCTCTACGGAACCGGTCCTGGGTGCCCAAAGGTTGGGGGCCGCTGGGTTAGAGCTTATGCTGCAGGATATTTTACAAAATTTTCAATGTACCTGTGTTTCCTGGAAAATAAGACCGGGTCTTATATTACATTTTGCTCCAAAAGACGCATTAGGTCTTATTTTCTGGTTATGTCTTATTTCCGGGGAAATACGGAACTAAATGCATTCATCTGGCTGATGATCTTAACTGGGGCTTATTTTGGGGGTGGGGCTTATATTACTAGTGTCCTGAAAATCATGCTAAGGCGTATTTTCCAATTGGGTCTTATTTTCAGGGAAACACAGTATATAATCAAATGAACTAAGTCTAGTGTCACTAGTTTCCATACGCATCGGGGGAAAGCGCAGTTCTATTAATTTTAGTGGAATTTGCACCCTTGCTTTACATAGTACTGTGTTACAGATTATAGAGCTGCCATTTATCTATAATCAATTTGTGGACTATTTTTTCAATGTTTATCTGTAGAACTTTCACTTGGTTCTTTGTTATACTTGTCCTTTGACAAAAAGGACAAGTATAACAAGTGGAAAGAAGGACACATAACTAAGGCAGAATATCAGCAAATAGCCCGAGCCTGCAAAGATGAAGTGAGGAAAGCTAAGGCTCAAAATGAATTAAGGCTTGCAACAAAAGTCAAAAATAACAAAAAAAGCTTCTTTCAACATGTAAAAAACAAGAAAAAAGTCAAGGAAATGACTGGCCCATTAATGGGAGAAAGTGGCAAGAAGATGACAAGCAACAGGGAGAAAGCAGAACTATTTAACTCATTTTTAACTCATCCGTCTTTACACAAAGGGAAAAAACAGCCCAACCTATTAAAAACAGTATCATAAAAAACAGATTAGAAACACAAGTTAAGATAGGCAAGAAAATGGTAAGTGAGCACCTGTCCAGCCTAGATGAGTTCAAATCACCAGGACCAGATGGATTACACCCCAAGGTTCTCAAGGAACTGGCAGATGTGATCTCAGAACCACTGAACTATATCTTCCAAAGATCCTGGAGCACTGGGGAACTGCCAGAGGACTGGAAAAGAGCTGATGTGGTTCCCATCTTCAAAAAAGAAAAAAAAATGGATCCAGGAAATGACACCCCTATCAGCCTGACCTCAATACCTGGGAGGATTATGGAAAAGATAATCAAACAGCAATCATTGAACACCTAGAGGCAAGCAAAGTCATTACCAAAACCCAACATGGGTTTGTCAAAAACAGATCATGCCAGACAAATCTTATCGCATTCTTTGACCAGGTGACAAAATTAGTGGACCAGAGGAATGCTGTGGATATAATTTATTTGGACTTCAGTAAGGCATTTGATAAACTAGATTACAACCTACTCCTTGATGAGATAAAGAAATGTGAGTTAGACAGCATCATCACCAGATGGATTCGTAGCTGGCTGACCAGCCGTACTCCGCATGTGGTCCTCAATGGAACTGCATCTACATGGAGGGAAGTGTGTAGTGGGGTGCCCCAGGGCTCTATTCTGGGCCCAGTACTCTTCAGCATCTTCATCAATGATTTGGATGAGGGGATAGATGGGGAACTCATCAAATTTACAGACGACACCAAGCTGGCAGGAATAGCCAATACTCCAGAAGACAGGCTTAAGATACAGAAGGATCTTGACAGACTTGAACATTGGACACTATTTAATAAAATGAAATTCAATGGTGAAAACAGTAAGGTTCTACATTTAGGCAAGAAAAACCAAATGCACAGGTATAGTTTAGGAGGTACCTTGCTCAATAGCAGTAACTGTAGGAGGGATCTCGGAGTCCTAGTGAACAATCACTTAAATATGAGCCAGCAGTGTGCTGCAGCTGCCAAAAAAGCCAACACAGTGCTAGGCTGCATTAACAGAGGGATAGAATCAAGATCACGTGAAGTGTTAATACCACTTTACAATGCCTTGGTAAGGCCACACTTGGAATACTACATCCAGTTTTGGTCACCACAATGTAAAAAAGATGTTGAGACTCTAGAAAGAGAAGAGCAACAAAGATGATCAGGGGACTGGAGGCTAAAACATACAAAGAACAGTTGCTGGAATTGGGAATGTCTAGTCTAATGAAGAGAAGGACGAGGGGGGACATGATAGCAGTGTTCCAATATCTCAGGGACTGCCACAAAGAAGAGGGAGTCAAGCTATTCCCCAAAGCACCTGAAGGCAGGACAAGAAGCAATGGATGGAAACTAATCAAGGAGAGAAGCAACCTAGAACTAAGGAGAAACTTCCTGACAGTTAGAACAATTTATCAGTGGAACAACCTGCCTCCAGAAGCTGTGAATGCTCCAACACTGGAAGTCTTTAAGAAGAGATTGG